GATAAGGCAGGAGCCGAGTGGCCCAGGCCAGCAGGATTCTGCGGCGACCGGGCCAGATGTCTGGCTCCATCCAGGTCAGGATCCACGCCGCAGTCTCCAGCTCCAAGGTGGGCTGAGGCAAAGTGGGAGCAACAGCGACAGGACCGCCGCCATTTGGCTGCGGCACGCCTCCTGGACCAAGCAAACCACGGTGTATCTCTGCTAGGTCTTCGTCTTCCTCCATATCTGCCCAGCGTCGGCCGCGGCGGTACATGGACATGACGGTGCGGCGACGCGAGGCAGGGGCTTCAGCGTGTCTACACAACTTGATGTACTAAAATTGCGCCAAGTAGGTGTTTAGCCACGCTGTCTGCCGCCTGTTCTAGCTCTACTTGTCTGCGGAAACGTGGAAGGTTTTGACCTTGACACGCGAAGCCGCCCAACTATTTTTTCTTGTCCTCGGAAGATAGCGGCATTTCTCGAAGCAGGTGTCGATGGCTTGACAGCTGCCGACCAGCACATGCTTCTGATGTACCTCGTCCTGCGATTAGCCCGCCGTCCACGCGGTCAAGAGGTCCAGATGTGTGGCCGCCAGGTCGATGTCGAAGGCTACGAACGACAAGACTGGAGCCGAGTTGGGCCGCTCGTTGACCACCGCCTCCGGGCTTGGGGCGCTATGGTCAGCCCGCGGCACCTGGAGGGCATCCAACAAGGCGACCTGGGACGCATGCCACGCGGCCGCGGGATCCAAGGGGCGTGTGACAGCGAAAAGCTTCTTGGCTCCATTGGGATTGGTGGAGAGGACGCAGGCCATCAATTGTAGCTTCTCCAGGAAGATGAGGGTTTCCCAAGCGAGCGAGAGGCGGTCGTCGTTGTCATCTGGCGCAGCATCGCGAAGCTTAGAATGCGAGCGAAGGCAGGTGGAGTCCAACCAGACCGTGAGCATCTGGAGCACGGTTGCCGCGAAGGCCAAGACGATGGGCTTGTGCACGGCAGTGATGCCGGCCAAGAAATCTGGAAAGGGCAGGGCACGCAAGCGCGCAATACGGGCGGCATGCGTGCGCAACGCAGCATCGGCCGCAGGGGGGCCAGCATCAGGTTTGTCGCCCCGAGCTGTCTGGGATATAGTGGCTCGCAGCTCCGAGGCCACCGCCTCACAATGCTCGCCAAGAAGGGCGGCCGCGCGCATGGCCGGCAGAGCAATGCCCGTAGGCCAAGCCTCGGGCGCGTGTCCCTGGAAGGAGGCGAGGAGGTTATGCCAGTTAAGAGCATGGCGGAGGTGCTTGCCCTTGAGCTTGCCGTGCCTTTTCGACTCTTCGTGCTGGACGAGGTAAAGCTCCTCCTGTAGCTTTACATGTTGGTCGAAGTTCTCCACAAAGCAAGCTTTTGCGGCCCCTGCATCATCGTCCACGAAAGTGTAGTTAAGGAATGGATAGTCCAGGTGGTAAGCGAAGGCAGCTTCACCGCGAGTCTGCACGTCGTGCGCGCGATAGATGTGATAGAAGCGGTCGACCAGGCGTTCTTCGAGTCGGTTGGAGCCGGGCAGATTGCCGAGCGCTCGGTTGGCTGCCTCGATCTGTATCGCGCGCTTCATGGAAGGCCTCGTGTAAAAGAAGCAGAGGCGGCCGCGGAGTCCGAGGGGGTCGGGGTTTGCGTGCAGCGGCCAGACGTCCTCCAGGTGAAGAGCCCCGCAAACTCCCAGAAAGGGATACGTCATGGAGAAGGCGCGCTGCTGGTTCACCACGTCACGCTGCCATGACATCCGCTCCCAGAGCTGTGTAGCGATGGCTCGGTTTATCCCGAACTCCGCTTGGAGCCACTGCAGAAATTGCGTCCCCTCCACGAGGAAGCCCGCGGCAGCAGTGCGCTCCTCGTTGGTCGCCATCTTGAGGCCAATGCCTTCCAAGGAGCCGGTGCCCAGCCGCAGGGACACGGCCGCGAGCTTCCGAAGGCGAGCCTTGGCAGCGGCCTTTGCGGCGGCATTGGCAGCAGGCTCCTGACGAACGCGGGCGCGCTGCTCGGCCCGCTGGCGATTGGCCCGCTGCTCCACCCCGTGCAAGACGTTGTGGTAGAGCCGCAGCAAGTTGGAAGTATTGCAAGAGCCNNGGTCAGCGCCAGCTCAGCCAACATAACCCACACCCACGGGACGCTCTGCGTGTCGCCAATCTGCCGCCATTCGGTGAGGACGCCCTCCGGGACAAGTTCCGCTAAAGCTGCTTCAGGAAAGGCGGCGCGCGCCTCGAGGTTTTGGAAGAATGCGTCCACAGCATCATCCGAAGGCTGCGCCGGATCCCGGGAAGCACGGGCCATGGAGCCTGTGCCGGCAGCAGTGATGGCGGCGTTGGACGCAAGGGGCGCAGGCTTGACTGAGCTACTGGAAGCCACAGGGTGACAAGGGAACGACCATGTATATGTGAGAGCACGACACATGCCCCGCAAACGAGAATATCAGAAGCGGCGCCTACGCGCAAGGCAATTTTTTTTGCAGAGGCCCAGAAGGGGAAGATACTCAGCAGTAGGGTGAAGCTTCTAAAAAAGCTCGGCCTGCAGCCGCGTTCAGACGTCGTCACCGTCGGTGTCCAGCTGGCCAGAGCGGCGCAAAGCGCTACCGCAGAGCTTGCACAGTTCGTAGCGCGAGCCAGCCAGGCGCACCACGAAACCAACGGGCAGCTCCCAGGTGACGGCCTCTGCGGCAACTGTGACCACCTGCGAGAGGGTTGCAAAAGTGACACAGCGGCATGGGGGCCGGAGGTCTCCCGGCGCCGGCCGCCAATGGTATTTGCCACCGCCCCAGAAACCGACTCCATGAGGATTTCGCTGCAGGGAGATGCGCGGCGCCGGCTGGCGCGGCTGACCGGTACCGGCGTCCCTGGATGTCGACGGCGGCCGAGCTGCGCGTGCGCTGGAGCGCTTGCGACGGCAGCGCTGCGGCAGCTGCTGCGCCACGCGCACATTGAACCAACGCGCAAGGATCAGCAGGAACGTGCGGAAGACGTACGGCGCCATGTTGGAGGCGAAGCCGACGAAGGCATCAGCCCAGGCGAAGAACTGCTCGGCGGTCTGTGAGTTGATTCCTTGGAGCGCCCCGTGCTCGCAACGACGCACTTCGGGCAAGTAGAGGGCGTGTGCTTCGTCCAAACACGCGGTGTGGTTGGCCTCGTGGAAACTGTCGAGGACGTAGGTGAGGGAGGCCATCGCTGCAGCAGCAGCAGTACGGTCACAGCGGATAGGATGCCGCGCAAAGCGCGCCAAGGCACAAGCATTGTCGTAGAAGACGAAGCGAAGGGGATGGCTGTCGCAGAGTACAAGCTTGGAGAGGAGCGCATAGACCTGGGTGAGGGACTCCGCGTTGGACAGTGGTGTGAGAGCACAGACGCGGCCGCAAGGAAGTGTGGCAATGAGGACCCCACCGTACCGCCGGCGAACAAGGAAACTGGCCTTGTCGATACCGCAGGGGTTAACCTCGTCCGGCTGGAGCTGCAAGGCCGGCACGGATGTATCGTAGATGGAATTCTCGCCGGCTCCAGCGTCCTGGCCGTCTCCTTCGACGACGGGAATTGGCGGGGCGGGGGCATCGCGCCCTCCCCGACGTCGCCCGCGCCGCTGCGCCCGTTCTGCCAAGCGGGCTTCGTAGTCTTGCTTCGCGGCAACGGTGAGTGCGGAACTGGGCAGCCAGGCAGTAGAGCCAGTGACCTTGTACTCACGCCTGTCGGCAACATCACGGTGACGAAGGACACGGGGATCAGGCTGGACAGCTGTCGGAGCCATCGTCGTGTGGAAGTCGCAATATGGACCGTCTTGCCGAGGAGGTTCTTGACACCCAAACAGGACGCTGCCGTCGATCTCCGGAAAATGAACTGCGCCGCCTTCGCGGCGGTTGCAGAGAGGGCAGGTCAGACCGTACTTGGCATCAAAAGTGACGACCGCTGCTTCGCAAACATCGCAGGAGTGTTGCACGAAGTGCGTCTGGTGGAAGCCCGCCTGCAAGTGCGGTAGCGCCTGCGCCAGAACCGCGCGGAAGTCACTCCCGCGATGCGTCGCCTCCAGTGGCCAGTAGAGCTGCACGACCTGCTCAGGCGAGTGCTCCCAGAGAAGCGAGAGAATCTCGAAGACCAGCCACGCGTGCTCAAACCGCAGGCAGTCGTGGGGCCGATCTGCGTCAGAGCCATGGAGGTCGGCCAGCATGCTCGCGAAAGCACTGAAGCTGCTTTTGCTGCGGAGCAGGGACCCACGGAGGAGCCAAAGGACCCGGGTCTCCAGGAAAGCCTTCGCATTTTCACGCGGCGCAGCCACGATCTGGGTGAACTGACACTCGTCCGGCGCGACCACGGAGGCGCAGAGGCCGCGCTGCTTGGGGTGACGCATCCAGCCAGCTGTATACGTAGCCGAACAAGCGGCACAGCGGGCCTCCGAGTAACGGACCGGCTGCCAGCCAGCGTGCAAGAAGTAAGCCTGAGCACCGCGAGAGTCAGTGACATCCAAAGTGTGGCCACACCTATAGCACGTGTCCAGCGCAGGCTGTATGAGGGTAGCCTGCGGCACCAACCCAGATAAGGGCAGCGGCAGCCCCCCAAGCAGGCTGGGAGCATGACCTTCAAGGCGCGCGAAGACCGCGGCGATCTCCATGTTGGGGAAGCGAAGGCCAGTGACAGAGTAGAGCAGATCGCCAGCATCCGTTGCGCGAGTGGCCGGAGGGGAGACGGCATAGCACCGCGCGAGGACGCCGAGGTGCTGAGGATGAAGAGGTCGAAGCAAGTCGAGGAGGTCGTCGGAAGCAAGACTCGGCTGCATCGTAGCAAGATTAAGCCAAGTTCGACGCTAGAGCCTATAGCCAGCAGAAGAAGACAAGAACCGAGAAGCTGCGGCCGGACAGGTGTAGGATGGTGTAGGCCTCCTTTGAAAAAATCTTACAGCGAGAGAACAGCCAGGAAGCAGCGGGCAGAGGGACCCTTTTTAAGCACGCGGCAGGCGGATGGATCATATGTAGGGGCCCAGCAAGCAACTCAGGCAGGCCAGAGAATTCAGTCGGCATCCGACGAGCTGTCCGTGATGACGAAGCTGTGCACCGCGGCGGCGCGGTGAAACGATGTGCGGGACTCGGCAGAGCCAACCGAAAGAGCGTCATCCAGGGGCTCCTCCGGCTCGGCTGCGTCGGAAGACTGGTCCGAATCGGGAAGAGAAGTGAGTGCGACCAGAAGGACGTCAATCTGGTGGTACCGCGCCGCGACGCAGAACACGTCTACCGTGCGGAGGCTCATGGGGCTTCCATGGGAGCGTAGTCCAGGCACGCGGAGTGGCTGGCGGAGGTCGAAGTTGCCGGCACTGCGCAGCAACATCGCACCAGCGTAGTGCTCCTCCACAAAAGCAAAGGATGCGAGCACGTCGGGGTCGGCAATGGCAGGATTCCAGACGCGCAAGAGGCCACTTTCAGGGACACCGCGTTGAGCAGCAAGAAGGGCCACGTCATCGCGCCAGGCTGTATCCACGTTGTAGTGAAGGCGAAGGAAAGCATCCATCGCCAGCCTGTCTGGATTCCAGCAAAGAAGAAAGCCGGAGGCGTCGTCCAGGAGCGGGAAGCGGAAGAAGCTGCGCAGCAGCGGATCCAGCTGCGCGCGAACGCGGCGCTTTGCGTCCACCACCTCCCGGACACGGCGTTTGTGGTCCTGGCGGTCGTCCGGCACCGCAGAGCCGGCGAGAAGGAAGAAGACGAAGTCGCGAAGTGGGAGGAAGACGGCGAGCAGGCTCTGCACCTCGACGGCGGCAAGCATGGCGGACATCGCGACAACTACACAGGGAGCAGGGGACACGAGCGCAAGTTGCTGAGAGTCAGAAGCTGTGGAGCGGCAGTCGCAGTGTCACCTGTGGCTGACAAGCGTGAATCGCGCACATACAGCAGCAGACTATAGAGGCGGTTCATTTTCCACGCGAGCAGTGTCGCGACAGCGGCCAAGTCGATCTTCAGAGGCAACCGAGCTCCCACAA